GGCCACTACCCCTTTAAGAAACTTACCATCAAAACAGCACTTCCGTGAAACTGCTTGAATAAGCGTGTAAGAGCTATCAAAACCGGCAATAGTAAATGAAATCTCACGACTCTAGCTGCGGGAAATCAGTTTAATATTCTCTTCAGTTTTATTTAGGACACATATAATTTCTCACTTATTTAAATCATATAGATCTAGTATTTTTACTAACATTACTAACTTTAAAGACAAAAGGACTAACATCTCTTAATTATGCAAGCTCGGATCAGACAGATATTCTAATCCGTTCAGGAGTAACAGCCAGCATTTAGCAAGTGCTTAAACCATCTCCTGCTTCCCCAGGACAGTCGTCATGCAAACCTGTGTACAATAGATACATGTGACACCATAATGTTAAAATTTTAATGTATGTAAAAACTGTGTATAAAAGAGGCTACTGTAAAACTGTACTTCGGGTTCTATCACCACCTCAAACTGTGCTACTGCAGACGTTCAATAAAGAGGCTATTTTCACAACTCACTGATCTCGGTCATTATTGAACACAATCCCACAATAGCAAGAAGTGACACAGGGTCACAAGGCATTGATTCTGTGTGGTTAGAATTGAGGGACTGCAAAAGAGAAAAGACCGTGATGGGCTTGATGTAAAGGCCCCCTAGCAGCAGTCGGTATTCAATCTCTGCTACAAGCTCCTTTACTCTGTCTTGTATCCTGGGATTATTTGAGCACAATACCTTCAGTCCTGTGTAGACTGCCTCTCTCCTCAAGGTTGTCCCCTTATTTGGGGCAGAAAATAAATCAGGAGATAGAAAAGGCATGTAAGAAAGGCAGTATTACAATAATCATGGGGGCACTTCAATATGCAGGTGGAGTGGGAAAATCAGGTTGACAGTGGATCCAAAGAAAAGGAATTTGTGAAATGCATACAAGATAGTGTTTTTGGAGCAACTCATGATAGAGCCCACTGGGGAAACAGGCAACTCTGGATTTGGTGATGTGTAATGAGGCATATTTGATTAGGGAGCTTAAGGTGAAGGAATCCCTGAGTGAAAATGACCATAATACGATAGAATTCACCATGCAGTTTGAGAGGGAGAAGCTGGAATCAGATGTAACAGCACTATGATTGAGTAAAGGTAACTACAAAGAAATGAGGGAGGGGCTGGCCAGAGTTAATTGGAAGGGGAGCCCAGCAGGGAAAACCAGGGAGTAGCAATAGCAGGAGTTTCTGGGGGTAATTCAGGAGGCACAGCAGAAATCTATCCCAAGGGAGAAGAAACATACTAAGGGGAGGACTAGGCAACCACAGCTGACAAGGGAAGTCAGGGACAGCATAAATACAAAAGATTAGTGGGAAGCCAGAGGATTGGGAAGCCTTTAAAATCCAGCATAGAGTAAGTAAAAAAAAGCCATAAGCAGGGAGAAGTGTGAGGGCAGGCTAGCTAGTGATACATAAGAAGACTGCAAGAATTTTTTTTAGATGTATTAAAGGTAAGAGAGAATCAAGAGTGGACGTTGGACTTCTGGAAAATGAGGCTGGAGAAGTAGCAATTGAGAAGAAAGGAATGGCAGAGGAACTGAATAGGTGGAAGACACCAGTAGCATTCCAGAATTTCAACAGAGTCAGGGGACAAAGGTGAGTGTGGTGGCCATCACTAAGGTGAGGTACTGGGAAGCTGAAAGGTCTGAAGGTGGATAAATCACCCAGACCAGATGGACCACTCCCCAGGGTACTGAATGAGTTAGCTAAGGAGATTTTGGAGATGTGCTGATGATCTTTCAGGAATCCTTGGAATCAGTGAAGGTCCCAGAGAACTGGAAAATGGCTAATGTAACACCCCTGTAAGTTTTGGGCTGTATCTAAGGAAGGATGTGCTGGCCTGGGAGGGAGTCTAGGGGAGATTCACAGGAATGATCCCAGGAATGAAAGACATGTTACATCAGGAGTGGTTGAGGACTCTGGGTCTATACTCGATGGAGTTTAGAAGGATGGGGAGGGATCTCATTGAAACTTACAGAATACTGAGAGGCCAATATAGAGTAAACAAAGAGAAGATGTATTCACTTGTAGGAGAGACTAGGACCTGATGGCACAGCCTCAGAGTGAAGGTACAACCCATTAGAACTGAGATGAAGAGGAATTTCTACAGCCAAAGGGTGAAGAATCTGTGGAACTCATTGCCACAGAGAGCTGTGGAGGCTAAGTCATTGAGCGTTTTTAAGACAGAAATGGATAGGTTTGTGATTAGTAAGAGGATAACGGGTACAGGGAGAAGGCAGGAGAATGGCGTTAGGAAAGATATCAGCCATGATCAAATGGCAGAACAGAATTGATGGGCTGAATGTCCTAATTCTGCTCTTGTACCTAATGGTCTTATGGTCTAAGGTAGCGCAGAGGGCATGTAGGGTAGTGGTGTTAGAGGTCGGGGAGAGTGTCAATATGAGGAAGATGTTGCAGTCAAATGTGAAAGTGGTGCAGCATGACCCTTGGTGGGAGGTGCGTACAGTAGCTGAGATCGAGTGAACGTGAGGTATTGGAGAGAAGATGATGGCACATATAGGCAGAGTGGAGAAAGACTTGACCTTCTTCCTACAGGTCTGGGCATTCGTCTCTAGATGCCTGAGACTGCTTTAACCTGGGTGGCAACCTCGGAACAGGCTGTAATGGTCTGGTGTTATGGCCTCCTGGGGTCAGCACTACCCAGTCTAGCAAGACCCCCAAGCCCCTGCCCACAAAGTGAGACTCTAATTTCTCCCATCTGCCACATCTGGAGCAAAGCTCAGGAACTGCTAAGGGCAGCTCCAGACTGACGTGCTTGTCCGGGTGTACAATGGGCATTTAGAAATGACGTGGACACAAGGGATGCCAGTGAATTCTGGAATAGTCAGTGAGTTGGTGAACAGTTTTGGGAACAGCACATGGGAAGATGAGGTGGAGGTCAAACGTGAGAGATGTAATAGGCGTGGCAGGTAATTAATGAGGTGAATTTGGTAAGATACGGCAAGAGAATTCTCTAGGCCTCATGGCAACAGAACCTCCAGAAAACCCAACGTAACTTGGACTTTGCCAAAAAAAAGATTCAGCCCCCAGTTGAAACTGGATTCTGCCCACCAGTTGGAATAAATAGCCCAGGCATCCCATAATTGACTGTGTTACATCTGTTCCCCAATGTTCCTTTGCAAGACTTTTTTTATTTTATTCATTCTTATTCTCATGAAATACAGACTTCTCATATCTTTGTCCTTATATCTTCATACTCTATGTGTGATCTCAACCTTTCATATTCCCTCCTCCTCCAGTTTTCTCATTTCATTTCCTGAAAGCACAGGATACATCCTGCATTTACCATCCACAATCATTGACCACCTCACCAAATCTCAACCAGTGTGGTTCCATTCATGTATTCAGTGTTTGAAGTAAGTTTGAAATATGTGTTTTAATGTGTTATCTTTAGGTATGATCTTTACTGTCTGTCAGTTAGAGTGAGACATCAACCTATTACAATATAAAGCCTCATTGTTTCTAATGATAGTCGTTCTCATAAATACCCACTCTGACAATGGCAGAACATTAAACACTTCTTAGTATTCTTTTGTTATATTCTCAGCAATGGAACAAAGACAGCTCTTCAAAAGTGACAAAACACTGAGTAACCAAAGTCCTATACAGTCAAGAATCAAACAGCAACTAGAATCTCATGAACAAAAGGTAAAGAAACATACAAAGTAGAACATGAGGAAGGCTTACGATGTCTTAGACCAGCAAATACACCTTGAAAACCATTAAAAGTATGATAACTACAAGATTGAAATCTTAAGAGAGACAACTATTTAGAAATACAATGCACATTTCAAATAGTAGAATCAAAAATAGAACATATAAAAAAATTTCTACCAGAAAGATGTTGGCATATACTTCTGATCAAACCTGCATGAAAACCTTTATATAGTGTTAGATAAATGAAAAATAAAACAACAATCCCTCTGGCATGATTAACTCTAGAAAAAAAGTAAATTGCCGCTTAAATTTATAGAGATAATATAAATAGCTGAAACAATTAACAATGAAGCACATGATGAGAGGGTTCAAATGAAATGTCATGAAGTATAATTTATAAACTCCACTAATATTAATAACTTTGTCCAGACTTTCTGGAATCTTTCATTGACTTTTCCTGGATGAGATTCATGAAATAAGTGTCCTGAGAGATATCCATGAATAATTATAAATTAAACAAGAGGTGTAAAACCTCATATGGCAGTCAAATATCATTCATCAATACTACAGTCAAATATTTTGCACTGCTATTGCATCCAAGTATTACCTAATCCAAGTGATACCACAGTCAAACAGTACAGGTCAGCATGACAGCACCTTGGGCATCATAAACCCAGTGTCTATCTCACACTGCCAGTGTCTATGGCACAACATCATGGGCCAAAGGGCCTGTACAGTGCTCTACTGTTCTATTCAATTTCCAGCACCTAACTTCCACCCACAACCTATCCCAGCACCCAACACCCACCTACATTCTAATCACTAGCACCTATTTCTCCTTCATTTTTTAATTTCCAAACCCATTTCGTTCCATGTTCTAAGCTCCAGTGCCCATCTCTCTCTCATGCTCTGTCTGTCTCTCCTTCCCTCTTTCATGTAACAACTAAAGGTTGTGCACTTGAAATATATTGATCTCCTTGACCACTTTCAATTGATACACAATCCACGGAGGGATCTGGTGCTTGATTTTTTCCCCCATAATTTAATGATATTTGACATACAAATTGTGATCAACAGAAGCTCAAATCATTTTCAGGATAAACAGCTGATAAACCCATCATGTAAATGGATTACTGTAGGAAATGATATGATTTCAGCTATCCAATAAATCTATTTCAAACACAATAGTTCAATCCAAAATTTAGTGCTCATAACAAGCTTCAAACAAATTTCACGTCACGGTGCTCAAAAGCTCAAATGCCCAATGTACTTTATCCCTACCTTCACAGGTTTTCCCATCAGCCCTCAACTTCAAACCCTCCTGACACTTGCAGTAGAAATTGCCAATGGTGTTACAGCATTGACCTTCACATCCTCCATTGTCCTCTTCGCATTCATTCACATCTGTAAAACAAAGCACACACACAATCTCAGCATGTTGCCTATTTGATGTCTTTACAGAGACTTAGAATGAGGTCATTCAGTACACTGTGTCCACATCAGGCTCTTTGCTACAGCCACGTTAATCTCACTAACCTTGTATCAAATATTTAATCCATTTTATTTGGCAAAGGCCTGGGGAGTGATGAGTGAAAATAGATCACTGAATGCCTGATTTATATGGCTAAAGGCACAGAAGTGTAAGCCTTTAACTCAATGGATATCCCTCTCACCTCTGAGTCAGAAAATTGGAGGCGTACTGCCCTATCTGAGGTGCCATCTATTCAATGAGTTATTAATCAATGATCAGACAGAGTCAGCATAGATTTGTGAAGGGGAAATCATGCTTGACAAATCTGTTGGAATTCAATAAAGATGTAAGTCATAGAGTTGACAAGGGGGAGCTAGTCGGTGTGGTATATTTGGACTTTCAGAAAGTGTTTGACAAAGTACTGCATGAGAGATTATTATGCAAGATTAAAGCGCATGGGATTGGGGAAAGTATATTGAGATGGATAAAAAACTGATTGGCAGAGAGGAAACAAAGAGTAAAAATTAATGGGTCCTTTTCAAATTGGCAGGCACTAACTAATGGGGTGCCGGGGAATCGGTGCTGGGACACCAGCTATTCACAATATATGTTAATGATTTGGATGAGGGAACAAAATGTAACATCTCAAATTTGCAGATGATACCAAGTTGGGTGGGAGGGTGAACTGTGATGAAGATGCAGAGATCCTTCAGCATGATCTGGCCAGGTTGGGTGAGTGGGCAAATCAATGGCAGATGCAGTATATTTTGGATAAATGTGAGGTTATTCACTTTGGAATCAAAAACCTGAATGGCTGCAATTTGGGAGAGGGGAGTGTGCCGTGGGATCTGGGTGTTCTTGTGCACCAGTCGCTGAAAGTAAGCATGCAGGTGCAGCAGGCGGTAAAAAGGCAAATGGTATGTTGGCCTTCATTGCGAGAGGTTTTGAGTACAGGAGCAGGGATGTGTTGCAGTTATACAGGCGCTTGGTGAGGCCACCTCTAGAATATTGTGTGTACTTTCAGTTTCCTTTTCTGAGGAAGGATGCTTTTGCTCTCAAGGGATTACAGCAAAGGTTTACCAGGCTGCTTCCAGGGATGGCAGGACTGACATATGAGGTGAGATTAACTAGGTTAGGATCATTTTTGCTGGAGTTCAGACAAAAAGAGACTTATAAAATGGTAACAGGACTAGACAGAGTAGCTGCAGGGAGGATGTTCCCAATGGTGGGTGTGTCCAGAACCAGGGGTCACAGTCTGAGGATTCGGGGTAGACCATTTAGGACAGAGATGAGGAGACATTTCTTCACCCAAAGAGTGGTGAGCCTGTGGAATTCATTACCACAGGAAGTAGCTGATGCCAAAACATTGAATGTATTCAAGAGGCAGCTAGATATAGCACTTGGAGTGAATGGCATCAAAGGTTATGGGGAGAAGGCAGGATTAGGCGATTGAGTTGAATGATCAGCCATGATCGTGATGAATGGCAGAGAAGCCTCGAAGGCCTGAATGGCTTCCACCTGTTCCTATCTTCTATGTTTCTATGTTTCTCAGGTGGGCTTAAAAGATCCCACAACAGAGAACGAGAATTCTCACCACTGTTTTGGCCAATACTTATCCCACTACCAACATCATGATAAAACATTATCTGGTCATTATCTCAAAGCTACTTATGGGACTTTGCTGAATGTGAATTGGCTGAAAGATTTCCGACATCACAATTATTATACTTCAAAAAAAAATTCTTGGACAGTAAAATGCAGTGGAATTTCTTGAAGGATGCTTTATAAGAAGATTTGGAATGTGTCTATAGACCTGTATTTGAACTTTTGAATCAATTGTACTTCCACACCATTATAAAGAAAACTACATGTTACATTTATATAATGCCTTCAACATTGTAAAACACTCTGTCACACTTCACAGCATCGATGATCAAACAAATTTGCCATGGGGCCACATCAGGGGAATTAGGACAGTTCAATAATAATATAATCAAAGAAATTGGTTTAAAAGATTGTCTTAAAGGAAGAGAGAAATAGAGATGCAGGGAGGTTGTGAGAGACAAAATCAATCCTCACAAATAGTTCACTGTGTTCAAGGGTGAAATATAAGGAGAAGCAGAAGAGGCCTTCAGGCTGTGCCATGAGATGTTGGTGCTTAATGTAATTTTTCTCTCCATTACTTAAGCAATGACATTAACAGATTCAAATAAGCAGGTCAAACATTTTATGAAAACAGCAACCAAATCAGTGTCTGAAAAACGCACTTGACCATAGTAACCTCAAGGCTAACAGAAGAAGAAAGAAGGAATATCAGGGCAGAATTTTTTCATCCCATAATTGAGCTCAAGAAGCCATTGGACATTTTGTTTGGAGAGAGAAAGGATTGAGGTTACGGTGAGAAAGTGGCTAGGGCAGTGTAATCTGTAATCTGTTCTGAAGAAGGGTCAGTGGACCCAGAACGTTAACTCTGCTTTCTTTCCACACATGTTGCCAGATTTGCTGAGCTTTTCCAGCAGCTTCAATTTTTGTTCCACAGTTTATTGATTTTGTAAAGGGGTCTAATGACCTAACATCACCCAAATCTTCAGCCGACATTTCAGACTGAGAAATAAACAATTTGTCAAGTGCAATGTGTACCCTATAATGTACTGCACACAAGACGAAAGTTAGTGCTGTAAACTGTCAGTGGCTTCATTCCTCAAATAGTTTATAGTGGATTTTTTTAGTATCATAAATGTTTTTCATGCTTTCTACATGTTGTTATAGATTAATTAAATGTCAGGCATAACTCAAACAAGCTCCCCCTGGAAATGGCAGCAATAGTTGGTATTGATACATTTAAATGAAAATTAGATATATTTAAGATTCAATATATTAATAAATTGAGCCATGGCAGTTATAAGTGTAACATGGTCAGTGAAACAGCTGGCATTGAACCTCAAGATAACCCCAAGCTTTCCAGCACTGGGTGTTCCTTACCTCACTCTGGCTCTGTAATAGATTAACCGATAAGAGATTGATTGTTGTGATTGGTTAACAACTCCATTATTGTTGTATCCTGCTAGAGGACAAACTAGGTAGAAATTGATCATTTTTAACCTAATAGCTCCTCCATTTTAGTTAGGTGATTAATATATAAAGCGTTTAATGTGTGGTGACAATCTTTGTAGGTAGCCAAGGCCTCCGCACAGATGCCCAAAGCCGGCAAGAAAAGATGTTGTTCAATGTGCAACTGAATCTGGCTCCACTGTGCTAAGATAGCTGATCACTGCTGGAGTAGCATTACAGAATATATTTCATTTCTGAGCTGGGAATAAGATATGAAAGTTGTCAGGCTTTTGAGGGCATGACACAATGTATAATTCAGTCAATGAACATCATTTACATGGACCTCCCATAGGTATTTGACCATACAATAGATGGTTAGCAAAATGAAAGCACACGGTTAGCACTGCTGCCTCACAGCGGCAGGGACCCGGGTTCGACCCCACCCTCGGGTGACTGTCTGCGTGGAGTTTGCACATTCTCCCTGTTTCTGTATGTGTTTCCTCTGGGCGCTCTGGTTTCCTCCCATAGTCCAAAGATGTGCAGGTTAGGTGGATTGGCTATGCTAAGTTGCCCATAGTGTCTAGGGTGGGATATGCAGGGATAGGGTGAGGGTGGGTCTGGGTGGGATGCTCTTCTGAGGGTCGGTGTAGACTCGATGGGCCGAATGGCCTGCTTCCACACTGTAGGCATTCTATGATTCTATGATTCTTCTGTTCTGAAGAAGGGTCACTGAACCTGAAATGTTGATCCTGTTTTCTCTCCATACATGCTGCCAGACCCGCTGAGTGCTCCCAGGGATTTCTGCTCTTTGTTTCTGATTTCCAGCATCCGCAGTTCTTTGTGTTTTTTTTTAAAAGCACATGGAATTGGGGGCAATCTAAAACATGAATCAGGAATTGGTTAGGAGATGTGAGGGTCAAAGTGAAATGAATATATATTCCAAATAATAGAATGTACAATGGTGTTTGCCAGACATCTGTACAGGAGCCTCACCTTTGCACCATATTTATCAATAACTAGAATGAAGGAATAGATATCTAAATTGCTTTGGTGGCAAAAGTAGTAAGAGGGCATTGCTCAATTCAGAGAATGGGAAAAACCGTGGCAGCTGGAAGTTCAACGTTCCATTGTAAAGCATCCCTGAGCTAAGGATGAGGTGAAAATGCACAATGACTGAGTGTTAATCTTTCCCAAGATGGATAAATTCTACAGGGATCAGAGTCAGATGACTATCTACTGACCTGTGCTGGACACAGGGTTTTGAGTGACTGCAGCATTGATTGAAGTCAAGTCCTGCAATTTCTCCCATGGAAGAACAGCCTGGCAATGTTTACTAGTTATGCTCACATTTGAACACTGGCCACATGGATCAGTTATTGTGGGAGGGTGGGGAGAGGCTCAGGGAAGTGCACCCAGCAACTTTAGAAGAGAAATTAGAGAAGGGAAGACAGAGGAATTCCAAACATCTGTTAGTACTACATGGCAGTAACAATTTTCTCAAGCGGGGAAATGTTTTTCATACGGCAAGGAACTTGATGGCGCCAGAAACGATCAAACCAAACAGAATAGTCTGGAGTCCAACTCCAGTGGCTCACACAAAACTCATTCATATTCCATTGCTTTAGCAAAAACAAAAGGGATAGTGTCTCCTTGGCTCAATAATCACACAGGGAGACAATATCCAGGGGAATTGAGACTCCGTGGTCGATGGAAAAGGATTACGAACTGGGGCTGGAGCTGGGGGGTGGGGATGGTACATTCTACACTCCACCACCAACCATCCCCCCAACAAACGCCCCCCCCCCCACCTCGACCCACCATACAGAGCTCAGCATTAGATGGATGATTGCCGCAGGGGCTCTAATTACAGTGGGGGCAACTG